TGGCACCAGATGCAGGCTGTCTATGCAGGAGCACTCCCCCACGAGGTCATCGCAAACCAGAGAAGAAATGGAATGCACAACACTGTAGGGTTGCCCTGCCAGTTCCACGAATGTCCAGACAAGGGCACACTCCAAGCAACCGTTCCCTTGAAGCAGCAGCACATCGCCACGACATATCCGTTCCCCGGAGGGCAGCCTGACTTTTTCTGCCACANNNCAGCTCCGGAATGATTGTGCGAAGTGCTGCCGCCTTCCTCCGAGAAGCTGGCTTCGGGTCCTGCAACTGCAGCATCGCTGAGAAACAATCAGCTCTTGCCAAGCAATATAGTTCTTGTCCAAGAACTTCTCGGAGAAGACCCTGCTCGTAAGCAGAAGTCTTCTTGATGTCCTCGGCGAATCGCTTGATAGTGCGATGTTTTCGTTCGTGAGTGTAGCACTGAACCATGAACCCCCACCTTTCCAGGTGCGAGCCGAAGTGCAGAAGCCAATGGAACTTGGAGTGCATGCGGTCCTGCCACTCTGCAGCATGCACCGATTCCAAGAAATCGGAAACGTGCTTTCTCATCTGGGCGGGCGAAACCGCTCCCTCAGTCCGAGCTCTCTGGCAGCATGCCACGAGTTTGTCCAGCTGCAAGAAACATTGGATCGCTTGCACTGCCTCAACATTTGCATTTGCCCTGGCGAGCTGCCTGAAGAAACAAGCCAGTATTGGAGACAGTGTCAAGCCTTCGGAGGCCGTGCATTTAAAGGTCTCGGCTTCCTTGCATGCTTTTGCTCGGGACTGACCCAGCATCCCTTCGGCCTTGGCCGAGATGTTCCGGGGCAGGGTCCACTTGGCCACGTACTCGTCGGCGATTTCCCAGAGATTGGGAAATTGCTTCTGCAAAGCTTCCAAAACAAGCCAGGTCACTGTCTGGAAGACACCGGAGACCAGCAGGGTGTGCATGCTGTCGTGGCAATACTGCGAGACCGGCCGGACCAGCCATCGTTGATCCTCTTGTTGCAGCAGGGAAGAACTATTATAAGTCCAGCCGGTGGCTTGCTGCCACGTGCTGAAATCTGCAGCATTCAGAAGCATCTTCTTCTCTGCCAGTTTAGCCATGGCCTCGTGGATGGATTGGTCGGTCGCAAGCGAAAGCTTACTTTCTCGGATCTCAGAGGAACCGACCACGGGGAGCCCGCTGCTGTGCAGGACATCACATCGGTGTGCAATTACATTTTTGCATAGCATGCACATGCGGGTCCCAGCATCCCCCTTGCAGCTCCATAGAGCTTTATGGGCAGCACCGTCTTGAACGATCATAGATAAAACCACCCGGAAGAGAACAGGCTGACCTCCTGCAGGTCGCCGCAAGGATATGCAGCCGTGCTCCAAATGGTTGGCCGGTCGCATGAATATGTCTCGCAGGATCTTCGAGATCCATTGAGAGACACCTGCTTCGGCCTTGGCCATCAGGCTCGATCGGAGCAATCCTATGCAAAGCCAGGACTCCTCGTGCTGCAATGTATACGATCCAAGTTCTACGAACGAGGCATAGCAAGCCCATATCTTCCTCTTCGTCTGGACTGCTAATGGATTGCCCGGCACGATCTCGTCCGTATAAAGGATCAGCCGCCATGCCTTGGCGGGGCTCGGGGGAGTCTTCTCGATGCATCCCCAAAAGTATCGGGCAAAGCTGCTCTCGGCATCCGAGATAGCAGCTTGCAGCAGAGCCCAGAAATCGACACTGGGTATCTGCAGCTCTGCACCATCTGTCTGCAAAAGTGACAGTGTTTTGAGGATGTTATTTTTTTTAATGGTTCCCAGGCAGCCTCGGCTATATGTTTTCTCTGTGTGAGTTGAGGTACACCCTCCTCCCGGAGAACTTTGCAAACTTCGGACAAAGCCGAGGCTGTGAGATGGGGCAATTTCCTTCTCAGAGCATTCACCCTCTGAAGCTTCGCTGGTCTTTCGGCAACAGCATCGGTGCTGCTGGAGGCCATGGCCCTATATGCTCACCACGGCACCAACATGCAAATGCCGGAACATCTCCCCTGGAGACTCTTCCTGTGCCTGCAGCAGCAAGCAGCCACCCTCCTCGGAGGCTTCCACACGCCTCCGTGGAGGCTTGCACACGCCTCCGTGGAGGCTTCTCGCATCCTTGGATGCTGG